ATTATCAAAAAATTGTGCCGGAATTTTTTCTTGATTTACCGGAGCTCCGGTATTTTACAGTAGAATTTTGTGCTCTGTTTCCTATTAAACTTTCTCCAGTTATTCGCCAACAAGCTGGCTTCTAAAATTTCGTTTAAAATCGACGCAATAGTTATGTTAACGTTGTTAAGTGAATCAAAAATAATTCTTTAGTGAGTAAAGAATAAGAATAATTGTCACTCTTTGAGCTAAGCTTTCTTCTGGTACATTGATCAAATACGCGTACTAGTTTGCCTCCCGTGTAAGCTCGTAGTTATTAAACTTTCGATATTTTTTTCCTGGAAAAATAATTTATTTGTAGTGATGTAAAATGTAAATAAATATAAATTTTAGTAATAAAAGTGTTTTACTCGAATTGAAATTTAAATTTGTGGACGTAACATCTTATTTCTATGTATCTAAATTTCGTAGACGTTGACACATATAGCTTCGAATGTACAACCTTGTGAATTACATTAGTTATTTTAACTTTTATTGAAACTCTATCCGCATAATTATATGAAATTTATAATTCATTGCCAGGGGCAACCTTTACTCGTAGAAATAGGCAATATTGCGGTTTAAGAAAAGTAAAGAGCAAATTAAAATATTTTGGCAAACCGAATTTGGAAAATTCTGAATAAATAAATACCAGACAATATATTATAGTTGTTAAAATAGACGCATTGAAATTTAAGCTTAAAACTTTATTTAAGGATAATTATGATTTGTTTAAAAAAAGGAGGTAAACCAAGTTATTATGCATTGTAAAATTTATTTAAAAATACATTAAATAAATTTATAAATTTACAAAGTTTCAACTTCATATGAATTGTAATATTTTGGTATAGGTTGTTCTCAAACGCCTCCCTCATTTGGTCGATAAAATGATCTGATTGACTGAAAAAATAGATCGTGTTTAATCTTTATGCATTTCGATCAAAAAACCAACCGTTTTTTTTTTTATAAAGTTACTTTGATTGGCTGAAATTTAAAATCCGCGACAAAATTTTTAGGATTACTTAAATTAATTTTGATTAATTGAAAAGATTGAGCAGCATCTCGATTATTTGCAAATTACATCAAACTTAAAATATATGGATTGACCAAACGGACGGGTATGTAAAGGGGTTAGTATGCTTTATATAATCTGCGGGAAATTCTTACCTTAAAATTACTTAAATTAGTGGAATTTATTCTCCGTTTACGTATTAAGAAAGACCTGTGCCAGTTCTTTTCTGTTGCAAAGCGAATATAATCAAGGGTAATTAATTAGTCTTTATTAAAAATGATTCTAAAAACAAAACTTGGTTAATTGTAAAAAAAAATAATTTAGCGTTGAAAAAGAGAATGCTCTTATGTAAGTTAAGGTTAATCAAATTTATATATATCTTAATGGTATTATTATTAAGGGGGTTTCAGTAGGGAACTTGCAGGGTCGTCATATGCATGCCAGGGTGGCATTCTGCCATGCCAAATAATTTGAAAACGTGTCAGGTCCCTAAGTTGATCCATCGTCCGATTTCAGACAAAATAAGGGACAAATTTATTCCAGAATAAGTGACGTATAAATTCTATTTTTTTTTTATATTATATAAGTACTTATTTACATAAACGTTTATCATCGAAGAAATCAATTTTATTACCAGCTATGAATATTTAATTTTTGATTTTGAATTTTAAACATAAAATAGGACCTTTTCAACTCCCACGGTTCTGTTTTCTAGCAAATAATTATAATTTGTAACTTTTAAACACTTTTTTATACGCAAAATAAAATGACAAACTTTGTACAAACAATTAAAGACAAAGAAATAGTAAAGAAAGCCAATATCCGAGGAAAGATTAAGGGCATTATTTATTTTGATCAATCGAATCAAAAATATGTCCTGATTATTAATAAAGTTTCTGATTTATATGCTATCAGACTAATTAAATATGAGATCGGGATTACATTAGAAATTACGATAAATGCAGTCAAAAGATATCCTAACTTGATGGAATTTTATTCAACAAAAGAGGATGCTTATGAAGAGGTTAAAGAAATTCAGGAGAATCCAGAACTGATAAATCAGTGTATTTATGAGATTGAAACGTATGAAGATGAAACCGAAAATAATATACTACTTATAGGCGTAGCTGGTAGTGGTAAATCTACTCTAGCCAATGTAATTAGTAATACTAACAATTGTGATGAAAGTGAAGGATCAGTTAGCAAATCTCAACATTTTAAAATCATAGACTTTGAGTGGAATGAAACTAAATATCGAGTAGTCGATACTGTTGGAACGGGAGATATAAACTTAACAAGAAATGAGGTTTTATATAAAATGGGAGAAGCAATTCATTTAATGAAAAAAGGGATAAAGCAGATATTTGTGGTAATAAAATCAAGATTTACTAATGAAGCAATAGAACCTTTTGACTATATCCAAAAGATTTTTAAGAACGTTGATCAACATATTACTATTATTAGAACTGGGTTTGAAAATTTTGAAGACATGGAAGCATGCGAAAAAGACAAAAATGATTTAAGAAATTCCAATAAAAAACTTGCTAGCATAGTAAATCAATATAATATCATTTATGTTAATAATCCTCCAGAGAGTAAAAGAAGACAAGTTCGAGAGAAGTCTCGAAGAATAATAATGTCATATTTAGAGTCTTGTCAAGGAAATTACAAAATGGAAAATTGGGATAATGTATGTGTTAGAATCAATGATTTAATGAATGCCAAAAAATGGGGAGATAAGAATAAATTTGAAAAGGCTGCAAATAGGATGAAAAAAGAAATCATTTCTGAAATGGACAAACAAGTAGGGAACCAATTAAACCAATCAATAAGACAGATCATTCAGGAAGAATCGGCAAATACTCCAGTTTTAAGTACCGCGGCAATAGAAATGAAACTCAAGAATTTAACAACTTGTTTGATTTTATAAAATTATTAATTTAGCGAGCTCGTTAGCTAATAATTTTTCACTATCTAAAATTTAGTTTGCTAGCTCGATACAGTTATAGATCATAGTAATCTGACGGGTAAAATTACATCTTTGACAGTAATAGATTCTTTATTAATGTTATATATAATGTTATGTCGATAGATCTTTGTTTTTTTTTTTTTTTGTAATGATTTGATCGTGATCATGTTTTTGTATTTAACTATAATGGATAAAAAAAGTTTTATGTCGATAGATCTTTGGTTTTTTTTTTGTATTTAACTAGAATGGATAAAATAAATAAAATAAGGTTTTATATTACCACATCTGTGCTGCCTTTATCATTATTGGAAAAAGTTCGTCTGATTTGCTAATGTTTTTGATGGATAATTAACCAATCAAATTAAATAATTTAAAAATCGTTTTAATACTAATACTGTATACAAAATATATTACAATATTAAGAATCGCATAAGAAACTTATAAATTAACAAATACAGACCTATCTAAATGCATAACCAAGGGGCGGCCAAAAAATCTTGCATTTAGAGAGGTAAAAATCTATGTTATATGAGTTGGGACAAAACAAGGCATACATTTAGAGCAGCCTTTCATAGGCTATGCATTTAGAGAATATGCATTTAGGGAATACCAAATTAGTAAATGACCTAGTTATTAAAAAGTCATAATGACTAAGATTGCAAATGACTACGTGAATGACAATTGTTATTTGTTATTTTTATTTGGTTATTTAATATAAAATTAAGGGGAATTTACAGATAAGGGCCAAAAAACAAAAATAGTTGCAAATAAGGACCCAAAATGAAATAATTACAGATAGAGGCCGATATTTGAAAATTATTACAAATAAGGGCCCAAAATAATTATGCGTTTAAAAATCTATGATTAGATGATTTGGATATGATTGTAATATGGTCATCAATTGTAATATGGTCATCAATTGTTAAAGCATAAGAAAATGCAATAATAATTAGTAATTCGGATATAAATTCAAATGCACAATAAAAAAATGTACATTCGATTCGTCAACCCATTATTTGCACTGTTTAAATTTATTTCGTTGAAATTCTTTATGTTTTTTAAAATCTGCTTATAGCTGTACGGATCACAGTATGATCGTTTCACATGATAAACAAAAGCTTTAACGTTACAGCTGTTCTCATAAATTTTGGAACATCTGGTAAAAAATTGACTGAAACGTTATTTGGCCGATTCGATAAGTTATTGACTTCGGCATAAGTAATAGTTATTGGGCACGAAGTGCCCAATAACTGAGTTATTTGCTGTATGCTATTTGATTGGTCGATTTAAG